AACACTCTCTGCAAAGATTCTCACGCTTCTCCATGTTTTTATCCGAAATGACCTCCCACTACAAAGACTGTCACGCCTATCAATGTTTTGACTTGAAAATGACCACTTCCTGCAAAGGTTACCACACCTTTCAAATTCACTACTATAAGAACATAACATTTACTAAATCATCCCCACACTTGAATCTCTTCAAACATCATATCATATTTCTCTATCTCACATTTCTATAAGGAATTTTAATTTTGGCAATTCGTCATCTTCTTCATCAGATGATGATGATGATAATAAGCTAATTGTGAATGCTATTTGTTAAAAACAACCAGTGATAACTCGTGTTATCGCCAATAACAACATCATCATTCAAAGTCTTCTCAATCAACAAAACCAAGAAGCCTTTCATAGAAGTTTTGTTTCTGGGCATATTTTTCTCCGTCGTAATCGAGAGGATGCTGATCGTACGTTATACAATGATTATTTCTCAGAAAATCCATTGCAAAACGAGACTATGTTTCGTAGAAGATACATAATGTCTCGCTCATTGTTTCTACGAATTGTCGACGCAAACAAAGATCATGATCATGTTGGGATCCATGAGGATCTTGTTATGTACAAAATCACGAATTCAATAGCAAACGTAAACCAATGCGCAGCGAATCTAAAGGTTTGACGTAGAAAACTTACGGTTTAAAATTTATGGCGATCTGGCTGATCTTCCAGATGGTCGTACACAACACACGAACTGAATTGGATCACGAACAGAACGTCGGGCTCGCAATTGGATCACGTGTGTCAGGTGTCGGGCTCGCTGGGAGCTGTCCACGGAGGCGCGTGGGTCGCGGCTTGCACGTCGTGGCGTGCTGGGCGGGTCGCGATCGGTCCAACAGTGCTCCGGCTGGTCACGACTTTCGTCCGGCTGGTCCTTGGCATCGGGTTGGCGGATCCCGACCTTCGGGTCGTGGTCCGTCAATTCGTGTAGATGATCACCGGGTCTTGAATACATATAGATCTTCTACTGTATATCTCAAACACCTCCTTCAACTTGTACCTGTGGAACAATAAGAAGAAGATAAAAGCTCGAATGAGAACTGAGAGAGAGAGAGAGAGAGAGAGAGAGAGAGAGAGAGAGAGGGCGGCGCGTTTATGCGTGTATAACTAGATGAGTGTTCTCTTCTCATGAGCTTAATGATGTATATATAGAGGTACAGTAGGGACCCTTAGGAGATTAGGATTAAGGTTCCTTAATTCATTAAAGTACTTGCAGATCATTCCACTTATTCTAATTAATTAAATAATATTAAATGGGTCACCAACCTAATATTATTGCACTCCCTTTTTCTAGCTCAATTTACAATTGAGACTCCAATAATAATTACTCGAATACCTCCACATGTTTAAGATATAATGTCCATCAATTAATTCGATTACTGACAATCAAAAATTGATTATTATTATTTCGCCGAAGCTAGCTCTCGTTCATCACATTATTACTATGTTGATTTTTAATCTACCAGCAGGGTTGAGCATAATAATTCTTCATGAACTCACTCCGGGGACATCATCAAACTAAACATGGTGACCGTAAATATCCTAACAGCACATCATACATGTAGCAATATTACCCAAGACAAAGGGTCTGTTGGCCCAGTATGTGAATCAAAGTAATAAATACTACACATATATATCTGTTTAATATTTTACGAGTTAAGAGCACGCATGCTCAATTATTCTTTGATAATATTTAACAACCCTTTTTTATCTTTTCTTTTTTATTTAAAACTAAACTAGTACGAATCCCGTGCGATGCTCGTGTAAGAGATATTCATTAATTATTATAAAATTAAAAATTCTCATTAAGTAATATTTATAAATTAAAACTATGAAATCTATATGCCATACAATTTACCTATATTAATTTATTGATAATGTTATAAGTAATTTAAATTGTTCAAAACTAAATAAAACATGTCTATTTAAAATGATGTTATATTCATTTCAAAACAAGTGTCATTTTAATTTTTTTTATTCAGAAATTAGATATGGCTACACTGTGATTCCATAAAATAATTATTTTGGTAATAATTATTTCTGAATAATTATATATTCAAAAATTCGAAATGACTATAATGAGAATATCTCAAAAGTTTGTTGGGAATAAATAGTAATTCTTATTATATATATAATATATATAAATCGTAATTCTTATTATATAATATATATATATACATAGTAATTCTTATTAGTAATTCTTATTATATATAATATATATAAATAAATAGTAATTCTTATTATATATATAATATTTATTATCTTCAAAATTTTGTTTATTTTTCATTATTATAATTTTATATAATTTCATGTATTTAAGCGTGGACCATTCTTAATTTTTTGGAATTGTTGAATAATTTAAACTCGACATTACTAAATAGGTCGATGTTGTATATTATCTTTTTAAAAATAAATAGTAGTGCACACTTTAATTACATCAATTTATCATTGGAGGTACGTCATTTGTCGTGTCTATGGTAACTCCATCATGCCATAGACCGTCATTCACTATAACTAGTGTGTACCCCGTGCGATGCACGGGAACAATATTATAAATAGATCAGTTCGAGTCACTCAATGGCGGAAATAGAAACTACTATTGATCTTATTTAAAAAGAGGAAGAAAATAAAATAATTATAAATTAAAGGAGGATAAACAATACTTAATAATTATAAATTAAAGATTCGAGGTCAAACAATGTAAAATTATTTTGTATAAGAGAATATAAAATTTGTATTTTTAATATTAAAAATACCTAAAATATTATATTAGTATATGTAAAAGTATTAAAAATTTTCTATATTATTTTTGAAAGATGTGAAGTCACCTAGAACTTTTCTAAACAATATTAGAAGGAAAACATGTCTAGAAACATTTGAATTTAACATTGTGTAAAAAAAAAAATCTAGACTATTTTGTAAAGAAAACATGTCTACAAAAATTTAAATTTAACATCAATTATATATATGTGTATATGTATATATATGTATATGTATATGTATATATAGACGAATATGTAAAAAAATGTCTAAACAATTTTTTTAAAGTATCTAAATATAAGCCTAATTTAATAAAGACATTGGCCTTGTTTGGTGATCAGCGGATAGCAGATAGCGGATAGCGGGTTATATCAGCGGATAGCGGATAACATATTATATATTAGTTGATTTGACCAGCGGATTGCATTAGTGGTTTTTAAATAAGTGTTTGGTAAATAGCTAAAAATTTACAGCTATTTGAATTGCAAAATGACCAATAATGACATTTTATTATTTAGGTGTATTCTTTTAATAATAATATATTAAAACATTTGATATTCTTTAGTTGGTAATTTATAAATACATATTTTTAAAATAAAAAATTACTAACACTTGATGAAGAAGTTAAAAATTTACATTTTTCTGAATAAATTAATCATATGGATGACATATTATTATTTATTAGCACCATAAATCAATATAGATTGTAAAATAAATAATATATTTGTTAGCACCATAAACCAGTGTAGATTGTAAAATAAATAATACAAATTAAAAATTTCCAAGTAAATGGTTTTTGTGAATCATCTATCCTAAAAAGCTGCTCTAATGAGATTTTTCTAAATTAGAGTTTTGGGCCAAAAAAGCTTATCAAATAAACTATTTACCAAACAGACTCAATAGCAGATTTGACGGGTCAAACCTCTTAATTAAGTCCAATTCGCTAATTCATCTCCAATCCACTAATTCATCTTAAAAAAATTTGATTACACACAATTTCAAATTTATTATTATACTTTTTATGTTGTTATCGAAATTTGATTACACACAATTTCAAAATTGTCATTATACTTTTTATGTTGTTATCGATGATGTATTGTAAGCTTACAATATTTGTAAAAATATTAGTAAGTAGACGGGTGAAAATTAGCAGCGCGGGTCATATTTTATTTTTTTCTTTACAGATAGGGGATATATTTTTTTTTTTTTGTACTTTATTATTTTTTTTTAAATCTTTACAGATAAGGGATAAATTTTTTAAACTTGAGACGTATGCAATGGTATTTTGTTTAAATCAGATGTAAATGTAACAATTATCATTTTGTTTAAATCAGATTTCAATGTTTCGGTTTTTTTGCCTAAAAACCAGGGAAAAGAAACAAAAAATCAATACTGTCAAACAACGGTTTTGACCGCTACAAAAAAACAAATCTATACACAATTAATGAGCCAATTTTTTTTTGCCTATACAAAAATTTCCAACAATTACTATATGTAGGATATATTTAATGAATATGGTGGGAAAAGTTTCTAAATTTATAAAAATATTATTCTTTTTATATAATGATAGATTTGCATTCAGTCGTTCAAAATCCTAGTATTTGTTAACTTTTTGTTGTAGTTTTTATATCATCGATTGTGTATGTGACTAGACGATTAATGGTAATTATTAAGTGTTTATTAATTTGACTATTTTCTTTTTTCATGTTAGCTGTTTCATTCAGAAATTATAAACTATCATCTCAAATCTTAATCGCACCCTTAAAAAGACAACTTTTTTATCGTTTATCGAGTGGTGTGATTGTGTATGTGCCTAGACGATTAATGGAATCTTATCAATTTTAAGAATAAAACATCTGAAGAGGAATAGTTATATGCATACACAGTCCCTGTACTAGGGTTTTCTCTCCGTTTGGAGTTCTAGTTCCGTCTTAGGATCTTGTCGTTTTGATCTAGTGTCTGCATCTTTCAGCGTGTTTCTTCTAGCTTTTTTCCTTGTCGTCTCTATCTAGTGTTTTTCTTTTCAGCTTGTTCTCCTTTTATTCCTTTTCCGTATCGCCGTTCCTTTTTTAGGGTCTAGGTTTTTAGAGCGTCTCTTTTCCCTTGTTTTATCCTTCTTTGTCTTTTGGGGGGTTTGTGGAGTTCTGATAGAAAGGGGGTGTACTATATAAGCGGATTGAATAGAAGGTAACACCATGGAGAAGGAGGTGATGGAAAAATTACTCAAATTTAATTTATCTGCTAGGGAGGAATTGGGGATCCGATTGCAGGAAGATGATGTCACAACAGGAGTCCAAGATTGTCAAACCAGTTTGATCGGGAAGATATTTGGTGAGAAAAAAGCGAATTTCAATGGTCTGCAAACAACCCTGTCCAGCATCTGGAGTGCAAGACAGAGCTTTGAAATAAGAAATCTGGGGGACAATGAATTTCAGTTTATATTTCAAAACGAGGAGGACAAAAATAAGGTCCTGACTGGGAAAACCTGGACATTTGATGGTCAATACATATTGCTCAAAAGCTGGAAACCAGGTAATGAGAAGTTTTCAACTGAAGAGGAAAAGGTGAAAATGTGGGTGCAAATTCATCAATTGCCTCCGCACTGGATAGCTTACGAACCGGGGCGCAAGATTGGGAGGATTATAGGAAAGATGTTGAACGTTCTGGTCCCTGGTAATGGGAATAACGCAGGCAATATGCTGAAGGTACTGGTGGAAGTCAATCTACGAGAGCCACTTCTGAGGGGGACATTCATTTCTCTTGGAGAAGAGAAAAAATGGGTCGACTTCAGGTATGAAAACTTGCAAAATTTCTGCTTTTATTGTGGTCTGGTGGGACATGGTGAAAAAAATTGTAGGGTTAAAACTGAGGATGTCTCAGACAATAATGCTAAAATAGGCCAATTTGAGGAGTGGTTGAGAGCTCAAGGTCCTAGTCATTTTGAATCCAATAGGAATAGGTCTTTCCCAGAACCTAGTACCCCCAGTGATTCCCCTATATCCCCTATCTTAGAAAGGGTAAAACAGCATATAGGTGATAACAGCCCAGTGCATATAGGGAGTGAGGAAGTTGAGTGTGCTCGAGTGGAGGTCATAGGTTGTGAGGAGGGCCAAGGGAGTGGGACTCAGGTTGGAAAATTGGGGAAACAGAACTTATTCAACTCCAACCTATTATTGTTCAATCTCTCATGGAAGGAGTGAAGAGTTCTGACCACCAAAAGTTGGTGGAAGTTAACATTCAAAATGGCAATGTAGAGGAAGAGAAAGGCCAAAGAAGAAAAAAAGATTAAAGTTAGAAAATCCAGAATAGGGAAGGAGATTATAAATGCTGATATGCTTGTTGATAATGATGTTCAAGAAGTTAATGACCCTTCTGCTCTTAAAAAAGGTTGCAAAAGAAATCTTTCTGTAAATGATACTAATGATTTTGAAATTCTATCTTTGGAAAACCAGTCTAAAAAGGCAAGAACTTCTGGTAAAATTTTGATTTCTGAGGTGGAGGAAACCAACCCTAACTAGTCCCAAAGTTTCCAATGAAAGTATGTGTGTGGAACTGTAGAGGTCTGGGAGGACCCTCTACTGTGTCCCAGTTGAAAGAGGTTTTGAAAAACCACCTCCCAGATTTTGCTTTCTTATCAGAAGTTAAAAAAAAAAGAAAAATTTGTTACAGCAGTTTGCAAAAAACTTAAGATAGATAATAGATGGCTATATGTTAATCCTATAGGTACTAAGGGTGGTATGTTCCTTTATTGGTCTAATAAGATTGCCATTTTGGAGGTTACTTCTCTTGACTTTTGTGTGCAAGTTAAATTTTTGTATGAAGGGTGTCAGGATGCCTATTGGAAGGTCTTTGTGTATGCTAGCACAGATGCTGAAATCAGGAAACTCCAATGGAGCACTCTGATTAGGCATAGTCTGAGATGGGGTAGGATGTGGTTTGTAGGAGGTGATTTTAATGATATCCTGTCCAATCAGGATAAGAGAGGGGGGAGGCTGAGGGATCTTAATAGCTTCAGGGATTTTCAAAACTTTTTGAATACCATGGGTATGGGGGAGACTAGAATCAGTGGCCATAGGTTCACTTGGGCTAATAATAGGCAGGGTGAGAACTTTATTGAGGCTGTTCTGGATAGAGTTTTCTTATCCCCTGATTGGCTTATTAGATACCCCAATGCTTTTGTTAATCACATCACCATGTCTTCATCAGATCATAATATGCTTATTTTGCAAAGTGATAATACCTATGAAGTCAAAAGATCCAGATTTGTTTTTGATCCAAGATGGATGAAGTCAGATGGGTATAAGGAGTAGGTGGAGAAGGCTTGGAATTTACCAGCGACAGGCCCAACTCTACTAAGCATGCAAGAAAGAATCAAAAACATTAGACTGGCTCTTATCAAGTGGAAAAAAACTCAGGAACATAACTCAGCCAAAGTGTTGAAGATGTGCCAAGAACAGATAGTGGAGCAGGAGAAGTTGGGTGGGGAGAAAGATTGGGCTGAATGGCATAAATGGAAGAATTTGCAGAGGGTTGCTTATATTGAAGAGGAAAAATACTGGAACCAGAAATCAAGGATTCAATGGCTCAAGCATGGGGACAAGAACACCAAGTTCTTCCAAGCCAGTGTTAAGCAAAGAAGAAGCAGAAACAACCTAGAGAATCTCATTAGAGCTGATGGTGCCAAATGCAGCAATACTCAGGAGGTGCTTCAAGAGATGTTGGCCTACTTTGGAGACTTATTTACATCCTCTACTCCTGATGTTGCTTCATGTAATCTAGAAGGAATTAAAAGATCAATTACTGACGAGATGAACCAAAAGCTGGTGGCTGATGTGCAGGAAGGTGAAATCAAGGAGGCTTTGATGAGTATGGAGAAACATAAGGCTCCTGGGGAGGATGGGTTAACAACTTCTTTCTATCAGAACTCTTGGACCATTGTGAAAGAGCATCTTAATTTGTGGTGCCATTAAGAATTTTTTTGAGAGAGGGAGGCTCCCTTCCAATCTTAACCATACAATCATAACTCTCATCCCCAAAATCTTAATCCTACTAAAGTGGCTCACTATAGACCCATTAGTCTTTGCTCAGTCTGTTACAAAATCATTGCCAAAATTATAGCTAATAGGCTTAAAGTTGTCCTTTCTCATTGTGTGTCTCATTCCCAATCAGCTTTTGTTCCTGGGAGGCAAATATTAGATAATGTGGTCATAGCCAATGAGTGTATTCATTTCCTTAATGGTAGGAGAAAAGGTAGGAATAGTTTTATGGCAGTTAAGGTCGATATGGCCAAAGCCCATAGGGTAGAATGGGATTTCCTTGTGAGAATCATTAGAAGGATGGGGTTTATGATAGGTTTGTTCAATGGATTTTCACCTGTATTAGTACTACTTCTTTCTCTTTCAACATTGCAGGATCTCCCAAGGGGTTTTTGAAGCCATCTAGGGGATTAAGGCAAGGGGATCCATTGTCTCCCTACTTATTTATCCTCCCTTCTGAGGCCCTATCTAATCTGCTCAATCAGGCTTGTAGTAAGAATTTGTTTCAAGGTATTAAAATCAGTCCTCAGTCTCCAGTTGTCTCTCACCTCTTCTTTGCAGACGATGCAATATTGTTTTGTAAGGCTGATCTTAATCATGCCTATTCTATTTTGAATATCTTCCAGGAATATGGCTCTGCTTCTGGCCAACTTGTGAATTTGAGCAAATCTTCTATTTTTTTCTCTAAAAATGCTAAAGATGACATTAAAATTGAAATTTGCAGGATCCTTAATGGAATTTCCAGTGTGAGATACTCTAAGTACTTGGGACTCCCTTTAGGGATAGGTTGCTCTAAAAAAGACACCTTTAAATTCATTGCTGAGAGTGTTAAAAAACGAGTGTCTTCCTGGCAAAATTCTTTTTTGAGTGAGGCTGGCAAGGAGGTCTTAATTAAGACTATTTTGGGAGCTCTCCCTACCTATGCTATGTCCTGTTTTAATATTCCTGTGGGGATTTGGAAGGAGGTCTATAAAGATATGGCTGGGTTTTGGTGGGGGTAAGGGGGAGGCAGGTGGCAATAAAATCCATTGGATTGACTGGCATTCTTTGTCAAAACCTAAAAGCCATGGGGGGTTGGGGTTTAGGGATTTCAAGCTGTTTAATAGGGCATTACTGGCTAAACAGTTGTGGAGAATGCAAACCATGAACCTTTTAATGAGTAAGGTCATGAAAGGCAAATATTGTTACCATCAAAATCTGTGGAAAGTGCAAAAAAAGAGCGGGGATTCATGGCTTTGGAAATGTTGGTTAGGGGCTAGGGGAGTGCTCAAAAAGGGGTGTAGATGGCAGGTGGGTGATGGGACCAAAATCCAAATATGGAACTCCCCATGGGTTCCTCATATTCCTTCCTTCACCCCTCAATGCCAATTTTTGGGTGATATGGGTAGATTAGTGTGGGTGAAAGATCTTCTGAATCAAAATGGGCAGGCATGGGATACTGATCTTGTTTCTCAATCATTTAACCCTTTTGTGGCAGGTCAAATTTTGAAAATCCCTATATATCCTGGCAGACAAAAGGATAAACTGATATGGCTAGAAGAGAAAAAGGGATATTTCACTGTCAAATCCTGTTACCAAATGCTAATGAAGGAAAGATTGCATCATGTGGATAGTGAAGGATCCAGCAGCATGGGAAGAGGAGATCAACAAATGTGGAGAGTGACATGGAAGCTTCTTATAAAAGGTAAAATCAAGAATTTTCTTTGGAGGTGTTGGCATGGGGTGCTGAGCTCTAATGTCAATCTGATCAAAAGAGGGATGGAGGTGGATAGTACTTGCAAAAGCTGTGGAGAAGAGGAAGAAGATATTGATCATATTCTATTCAACTGTGTGAGAGCAAAATTGTGCTGGAAAATCTCTGGAATATCTTGGGTAAGGATGGAAGAAAACCAATGTACCTTCAAAAGATGGTGGATGGAGGTAACTAACTCCCTGTCACCCAAACTCATTGTGGATAGACTGAGCTTATCTGCCTATGTATTATCGTGGATTTGGAGAGCAAGGAACTGTAACGCCCCGTTCGATTTATAGAATTTTTTGGATTATTTTATTTTATTGAATTTTAAATTATGAGATTATATTTATCAGTTGTAATGTTGTCAATATGTAATACTTAAATAATATATTTAAGTATTCGATCATTTATTGTAAAATGTTCGAAGTTCGGCGATTTCAGTGTAATTGCGTAAATCAAATTTAACTGTGAGGATGTTAGATTTTTTTTTTAGTTTGTATTAATGAATGGTATCTCATTTTATTATTGATATGTCTTGATTATGTGATTATATATATCTTGTTAAATTTAATTTCATCAATTGTTGTTTGAATTTTCGGTTTAATCGCGTAAGCCGAATTGTTGTTCGTTTGAATTAATTTCAAAACCGTTGCGACCTGAACTTCGAAGCGATTCAACCGGACCTTAAGACCATTATATTTTCATCTCTTTAATAATATTTTTCAGCTATCAAAATCCAATTTGAAGAGTTAAAATCAGAATTTAGTCAAACTCTTCGGTTTTCAGTTAAAGTTGGATATTAAGTCCGATTTCGGTTCCGTAAAAATTATTTTTCTTCTCAATCTTTTTAGTAAGCATCAAGAGCATTAAGTTAAGCTATTTCCACCTTATTTACTTCACATGGACGTGATTCATCAGCCATGTTACATTAGAATCATTTAGTTGACAAACATGTGCATTAGGTGTAGATGGGATCAAGTTGTCTCCTCACATGATATGTTTAATTCTTGTTCAAAATTTTCTCCTAAAAATACATCACTTTCCTCTTCATTTCTAGACCTCATTTTCAGCCTTATAACATCTTAGAAAACTTGATAAAATAGAAAAAAAAAAGTCGGATTTCAAGCAAGATAGGGAGAGAAGTAGAAGAACCGAGCAACACTTCTTTCATTTCTCCTCATCATTTTCATTTTCTTGAAGGAGGTAAGGTGCATCTGTTATGACATTAAGTAATTGTTTTCTGAAAATGTGTTCTTTATATAAATTGTATTTTGTCTTATTATCTTTCTCTAGGCTTTGGAATTTCGATAATCCGATTAATATTGTTTGAGTTATGATTTTTACAAATTTATCATACAAGCAGTTTTTCTGGACCCGGCAGCATGAGTTTATATAATGTTTGGCCTGTTTATAGTGTCATAATGTGATC